GCACCCTCTCCGCCACAGCAGTCTCGGCAGGAGTCGATCGGGTGTCTCTCTTCTCATCCGCCACCGCTCCCCACAGCTCGCCTCCCCTCCGCACCCCTGCACCAAACACCGCCCCGCTCTCCCCGCAGGGCGGAACGGACCAACCGGCGTCGTCGCGGCCGACGGAACCCTGCAGTGGCTGTCGGACGGCGAGAGTACCCGAGATGCGCCGAGATTCGCCGAGATTAGCTGCAGTATGTGGCTGTCGGACGGCGAGAGTACCCTAGTGCGGGCTAGTGGTGGCAGTGGTGCAGCCAGCGGCAGGCTCACCCACGCGCACCGGGCCCTGCACTCTGAACGCCGTGCCAGCTCCTGTCGTTAGACGTGTAGTCGCGAGGGACTAGCCTGGCCCTTGCCCCACCACCACCTCGTGTGTGTGGAGGAGCTTACCACCTCACCGACCTTACTAGTACCCCCCCCCCCCCCTGCAGGCACGACCGGCGGGCCCGGCTGGACAGTTGGTTACGAATTAAAGCGAATCACAGCTCAGTATTAATTAGGCACGACCGGCGGGCCCGGCTGGAAAGTCTGCTGGCGCGAGCTCAGACGAGATCGGACGAGATTGGACGAGATTGGACGAGATTGGACGAGATCGGACGAGATTGGACGAGATTGGACGAGATCGGACGAGATCGGACGAGATTGGACGAGATTGGACGAGATTGGACGAGATTGGACGAGATTGGACGAGATTGGACGAGATCGGACGAGATTGGACGAGATCGGACGAGATCGGACGAGATTGGACGAGATTGGACGAGATTGGACGAGATTGGACGAGATTGGACGAGATTGGACGAGATCGGACGAGATTGGACGAGATCGGACGAGATCGGACGAGATCGGACGAGATTGGACGAGACCACCCGAGGCGACTAGCGATGCTGCGCCAGGACGGCTCAGCAGACCCCCCCCTCCCCCCCCCCCCCTCTTCAGGCGGCCTCAGCCTTCGCCGCCGCCACCGTCACCGACATCGCCCCCGC